TCCGTCCATGGGCCACATATGCATGGTGACCTTGTCGCCTGGGCGGACGGTGGCAGTCCAGAGCGAAGGGAGTATGATTTGGTCGTTGACGACAAGGTCGTAGCACCCGCGCTGAACACAGGGTCCGACGAGGTCGACATGGAGGAAGGCGTTGTTGATGAGGGCTTGCATGTCCTGCGGAGAGTGTTAACGTGGGATCAATGGGAAAGGGAAAGGGGGGGGGGGGGGGTTTACGTACCTCCCAGTTCTTGCAGAATTCAAAGGGGAATAGGAACTTGCGGCCCACGGCATCCTTGAAGGAGAGGGGCCTAGGCGGTTCAACGAGCGACAGAATTACCAAGTATTCACTGGGTTGGCCGTGGCGCTTGAACTCCTCGACTCCGACGCAGGTTCGGACGTGGGGAGACTGGATGCGGGCAAACTTGACCACGTCATCGACGATGCTGCGCTGTTCCGAGTCCATGTCCATGTAATTCATCCACGCCGAGCTGGTCTTGCTGTTGTAGAAGGACTTGAGACCAAACTTGAGTCGTTCGTGTCCGAGGGGGATCTTGGTAGGTGTTGTGGCCCTGCTTGGTTCAGCGATGTAGGCTTCAAGGTTGTTGCTAGCCTGGTCGGCGGACGGGCTGGACCCAAACATGTGTTTGATCCACTTTGGGAAGAGGGTGAAACCTCCTGACGGTGAATCTGTCAGAGGATTGGTCTCTTTCTTCTCCTCTTTGTCGACTTTGGCGGTGCCTGCCTCGGCCGCTGTGGCGGTAACCTCGTCCTTCTCGTCCTTGGGCTGGGGCTTCTCCACAATGACAAAGTCGGCCTCGGCCTCCTTGCTGATGGGCTCCCTATACGGTGGCGGAGGCTGCACGAGAGGCTCCTCGGTTTTGGGGACCGGCTTTTCGTCGTAGAAAGTGCATGTCCGTTCAGAGATGTTCTCGGCAGAGCTTGTCACCTTCAGCGCGATGGGCTTGTTTGTTTCCTCCATCGGGGCAGGGACGGTATCGGGGGCACCCTCCGCAAGGGTATTAGTATCAGGTGTTGGGACTGGGCTGACTGACGGCTCCTCTTCAGTGGCCGCGAAGTCGTTCTCCTTGGCGGCATCCAACTCGATGTCGGACTCGGTTGACGAGTCATCGTCCTTCTTGTCTCGGTCATCCTGTCGCTTCACCACCTTTCTGGCCATCTGTAGCTGACGAAGCCTCAGCTTCTCGGCCGAGGCCCTGAAGCCAAGCTCGAGATCGAAGGCACCGCTAGGTCGCGGTCCATGGTCGAGATGAAGCTTCGCCAGGCTCGCGAGTTGCAGATGCATTAACAAACCGGTCTTCAGCCACCGCAGCTGCTCTCTGCAGCGGAGGATCCGCGGTTCGAGCCATTCCGACTGGTCATCCCACGAGTTGGAGAAGACATTGAACAGACTCAATGATCCTGGCTCCACTTTTGTGTTCAGGGGCTTCAGGGGCTGCGTCTTGTCGTCGTCTTCCGACTTGCCCTTTGACTCGCGCGCCCTGTGCAACAGCGCAATGATGAGTCGGTAGACACGGTCACACTGCTCTGAAATGAGGTGCACTTCAGCGGTGCCCTCGGATTTGTAAGCATGGAGTCGCCCTTGCTTTTCGGCGGCGGCCTGGTCGTCGCGGAGTGTCTGGTGAAGTTGTCGAAGGGCCGACGTCGTCGCGTGGACCTCGACGGCCAGAGGATCCAACAACTCTCTTACGTCCTTGGCCATAGCCGCGAACGTGTCGAGCGCAGTCGCCAATCGCAATCCATACTCAATGGTCTCCTCAAGGGAAACTTCCGTCTTGGCTGCGCCTGCCATCTTGGCCTGCCTGTCCGAACTCGCAACAATGGCTTTGTCCTGTGAAATTGAGGGGGCCAAAGAATTGCGACAAAGAGACAATAAAGGGAAGAGAGCTCGGGATCTGGACCAAGAGAGGGGTTGCGAGCTATCTACGTGCAGCTTGTCAGGCAGCCAACCGTCACGTGGGCTGGCTGCCTTGGAATCTGATCCTGAGCTACCCAGTCGGGTTGGCCAGCTGCGCGGGTTTGCATGCGCGGTGCGACTCTGGGGACCTTTTTGCCCGGATATGGCGGCCAGGACATCGCGGCTGTGCAGGCGTCCTCCGACATGCTGCATCCCGTTTATGCAGTGTCCATGTGCCGCGACTGACACAAAAATGAGCAGATGGCCAAATACCAAGAAATGCCAGTCGTATGTTTACATTCAGTTGAACTATCACTGTGCCTTCAACATCTTCCTCTAAAACTCCGAATCTAATGCATCCCAAGAAACCCGCAGCCCGCACCTAATGCACTATGCAACCCGCTCAGTATTTCGGCGTCTCATATTGACTATGACTCCGAATCTGCTTCCCGTACTTGAAGAACACCCACGGCACCGGCAACAATGCCACAGATATAAAACCAAGCAAGCTCGTCGCCCAATTGATCCCCAGGTTCGTGTACACTGCCCGCAAGTCAGTTCCCATCCACAGGATCAAAAGAAAGCGTGTAACTCACTCTGAATGGCAAACAGCGGAAAGGCTCCCGCCAGTCCATACCTCGTCAAGCTATTCGCACTCGACACACTTGCAACGACCGTCCCACGGTACGTATCAACCGTAAACTGCGACGTGCTGACAAACACACACAAATTTCCCCAAGCAAAGGGAACGATGGCGACCACCGGACTCGCCCAGTGCACATCGCTCCTCGCCGTCCAGGCCAGCCAAAACAATCCCAATGGGAGACCGATACTACCGATCATGGCAGAGTAAAGTCGATATTCCGGAGGGACTTGATGCGGTGGATGTTTGGGAATTTGCTTGCGATAGAGGAGAATGTCGCAGGCGATGATGGTGAGCGTGCCGAGGAGGCAGCCCACCACGACGGAGATGAACACCAGCCCGGACTGCTCCGTTGTGAAATGGTATACTTTCTGGAAGGTGAAAGGTACGGCGGCGAAAAAGGTGAAGAGGGTCGCGAATTCGCACGACACGTACAAGCAGACCAGACCGACAATGGGTTCGGTAAAAAGCATGTGGGTCGGGCGGAGGAGGGTGATTGTGACGAACTCGCGGGCACGTTCGCGATGGGAGGGTGCAGGTTCAACGGTATGGCCAAGAGCCTTCGCGCGGCGACGGAGGAGGACGGGGTGGAATGTCTCGCGGCCGAAGGGGATGATGAGCAGGAGAGAGAAGGCGCAGAAGAAGAGCATGGTCCATTGCGTCCAGCGCCATCCTTTTCGCTGAGTTACAAAAGATCCGATGATGGGGCTGCAGCTGGTGGTTAGCACACACCTCAGGCGGCAGAAGGGGGGATGGAAATGGGCAAGACGCACCCGAAGCCAGGACCTAGGAAGGGGGTGAGAATGAAGAACGTGGAGGGTATGCCGCGCTGAACGGGTTTGTACATCTCATTCAGAGATCCAAAACCATTGGCCAAACACGGGGCGAAGGAGAAGCCAGCCAGGAAGCGGAGGATGTTGAGGCCGGTGAACGAATGCGTGAAGCCAGCGCCAAGTGTGAAGAGTGTCCCTAGAACAAGACCACCCGTGTACACTGGAAGTCTTCCGACTGTCTCTGATAAAGGACCTCCCACCACGGGGCCGAGTCCAAGGGCGAAGACGTATAGCGAAAGCGGGAGAATGGCTTGGGTCGTGGTAATACCGAACTCCTGTTTGAGTTGGGCGGGGGCTGCCGACATGATGGATGTTCCCATGGATCTAGCCAAAGTCCTGTCAGTTGTTTCCAGAGAAGGGGACGACAATGGGTCAAACATACGCCAAGAAAGCGATGGATGCAAGGGCGGTGATTTGCACCGCTTTTTCACCAGATGACCAGTTGTAGGGGTTGTGAGCGTCCGAGTCCCAAATCCACGCTGTTTCTTGTTCCCCACTCCTCTTCGTGCCACTTTCATCATCAGACTCGCTGTTGGTCCCTTGTTCCAGTTGGCTCCGGTCTTCTTGCACCTTCATGACGTCTTGCTGGGCCACAGTGGCCAGTCCGGCCGGCATTCGGCCAGCCATGGCGAGCTCGAGAGGGGATTGTTTTGGTGGGTGAACGACAAGCCCAACCACTCGGAAGCAGATAGTTGTGAACGTGTTCTGGACTATGACGTTTGTTCTTTGGATTGACTGGGCAAAGAACCTAGGTTGGGGGCTGTCTGTTTATAACCGCCGCTCGATGGCTGGGCCGGGAATACTGATTATCTACGCCCCCGAAGTTCATTACCAAGACAATGTTGATGCTCTGGGCCAAGGCCGCAAGCGTCGCGCTCAGGGGTTTGATCACTAAACATAAGAAAGAAGACCTCGGGCCCTCCCGGTTGGTGGGTCCGGGGCATCATAGACGCACCTGATTGGTCAAAACCACGAGACAACGAAGCCAACCCTGACTGTGAAGCATTCGCGCCCTCGGCACCTGGGGGGTTGGTGCTTATAAGCAGCATCTCCAACAGTTCTTCCCCTTTCTCCCTTTTGCTTTTCTCTCTTTTCGCGACGCGAGAAGTCAGTAATTGCAGGCACCCTGCCTAGCCCACCGAAACACCTTCAGAAATGGCTGACATACCGATCGTGCTCCGAGGCGCGGCTGCATCGTCCTGACTAACCGAAAGCTCCAGCCCTATGACGTGTTCCGTAGCTTATTTCTGGTGAAAATACTGCATCAGGCAGCACAAGCCGAGCCATCCGCGGGTCAGGATAGATCACGTGCGTTTGTACAACCACCGGCCACGACACGCAACGTAATTTTTGCGATGTAGAGGGGAGGATAAGTATGTTTCACCCTAGATTGGCGCTAGCTTAATCCGTTCGGAGTTTGATTCTCTGTGATTGTGAGTTTCTGCGGTAGTAGTGCAACAGATGCAGACACAGTTAACGCCATGATCCTCCAGGACGCTTTCGCATGTCGTCAGGCCATTTCACTTTTAAGAGATGGATTTAGAACTCTATTTAGAGCCGATTGGTGAAATCGGCAAAAAGGAAGAGATGTATTGGATCTCCAATGTCTTGCCCACTACCAGAATCGAACTAGCGACCTTATCATTACAAGTGACACGCTCTACCACTGAGCCAAGCGGGCTGCGATGTCGATATCCACTCTACGAGGGGTACATGATGCCGACATCCCGCCTGGGCCCACCTGGGCCCACCTGGGGAGAGATGTTCTGACTTATGATAATGGCAGGACACCTTTTCAGAACAGCATTGTGCATTGCGAAGTGGAATGGGTCCTCCCCATACCTATCGTCTGTTGTCCTCGCCCTTCTATCTACAGCCCATAAACAGTCAAATCGTCACTCATCCCCTTCTTTGCCCAAACAGCCGAGACCTCCCCTCCAAATACCCTCAGCGCCCTCTCACCCCGATCTTCAAACCCCAGACTCCTAAACACCGCCTTCGACGCATTGTTCTCGGGGTTGCAAAACCCCAAAACATCCCTAACCCCCTTCTCCTTCTCCAGATAATCCATAATCCCCAACGCCGCCTCCTTCGTGTACCCCTTCCGCATATGTTCCGACAAAACCGCAAATCCAATATCCGGTGCCTCATACCGATCCGGCTCCTCTCCACGCATCAATCCAACTGTGCCCACCAAAGTGGCTGCGCGAAGCGCATCCAACTTATCCACGCCATCTGCACCCTCGGGCTTCAGGCTGATGAGATAGGTGCCATAGCCGTTCCGGGCGTGTTCTTCCCTGAAGCGGCCGGCGAGAACTGTTCGCGCGACGTCGCGGGTGGTGATGGTTGTGGGGCTGCCGCCAATGGAGGCGATAAATTCGGGGGTGTTGTAAAGGGCAACGAGAAAATCGCAATGAGCGTCGTTTTCTGGGAGAAGATAGGAAAGGAACAGCCGGGGTGTTTCGACGAAGAAATTGGGGCCGGACATTGCGCTGGTAATGAACGTACTGGAGTTTTGCGCGTGGTGTCTTTCTGATTTGAAGTTGACGCGAGCTTAACCAGTGCACTCTGAAGCTTCCTGATGGATGTTGTCTGGTAATGGCGGTCAGGGAAAACTGGAAGTTTATACTCGACTTTAGTCGCAATTGAGTCTTGCAATTTGCCCAAATCTGACGGGTTAAACCCAAATCGCGTCTTTGAAGTTGAAGGATCGTGGCAAAGGAGCGAATGAGTCATATTAGCCGCCAAGCGTTTGTTACCTCCTTCGACCTACCTATTTCGAGTCTTGCCGCTGCGGAGACGAACTGCGCGTTGCATGCTGGCGAAGAACCCTGCAAATAGGCTTAACCCCTAATACCCGGTGCAACATAATATAAATTAGGCCAGGTTTTATTCAGTTCCTGAACTGCTGTGAAATCCATCATCAAATCCCTGTGCAACGTCTCATCGTTTTTGCATCCAAAACATTCCAAATTCGATCTTTTTAGTCGGGTCTTACTGGTGGACTTGAACCACGTGCCGATCCAAGAACTTAAAGACTCTCCACCAGCTTTGGCAACACCGTATCCGTAAAAACCCAAAGACTTGTCGTAATCGGCGTCGCCCAAGCCGAGCCAGTGTACCAAGTCGACCTCCGTCCCTGTAGCGAGTTCAGTATCTGGAAGAAGCCGGACCGAATGACGTCCGTTGGAACATGGGCGTTCATTTGGTAGTGATTCTTAAAATACAAGATTTTCAGGGGCTGCGGGGGATCGGTCTGGTTGATGGTACCAGCGGCGACTAGCCTGTCGAAGGTTGAGAGCAGGACCTCCCTTGCGCGCTTCTCTGTGAGGGTGGTATCTCCGCCCACAATGACCCGGAAGAATGACGAGTTTGCGAAATTGTTGAAACCTGAAGCGTATGGAAACTCCCGGTTGGCTGCAGCTGTCCAGTTGCCCCCCTGAGCCTCCTCGGGCATGTTGGAGAGAGAAGTGCCCAGGGGCAGCGATGGGTGGGAAACCACGCCTACGAAAGGCCTCGTGAACTGGAACTTGTAGAGGGTCTCTCGCTCCGTCTCATCTAGGGAGAAGGGCTCTAGATTCTCACGCGTTGGGGACGCTGCATAGAGAAGCTTCTTGGCGACGATTCGGGTGACTTGGCATGTCTCGGCATTGCGAACATCGACAGTCACACCCTCATCGGCCCGCTTAGCTTTGACGACTGTGCTGGAAAGCAGAGAATCAGGACCAAGGAGTTTGAGAATGGCGTCGTAGAGATCCTGGTTCTTCCCCGAGGTTGGTATGAAACCGGCATTCAGGCCTAGGATGGTGCGGGCCATGTCGACTCCGAAAGGCCGCATCACCCACATCAGGGGGCTGTTCATAAAGTCCTTAATTCCCCCTCCTGTAAGCCCGAGGATCTGTGGTAGGGCTGATGTGAGGTTGTATTTCACCATGGCGTCACCGAAGGAGAGCAGCAAGTCCTGCGGAATGGCGTCGGGCTTTGGGAACGTCCACCATCCTGGCTCAAACACGGAGAGCAAACTCTCTGCCACAACAAGATACCGCCGGAGCGCATCGTTTCTGTCTGTGGTCGCTGGCAGAATGTAGTTGCTCAGCTTTTTGCCAGTGGCGAAGTCCACGTACACAGGGGGTTGCTGCGCCGGCCTGGTGTTTGGGCCGATTTCGATGCCAAACCGCCTGAAGAAAGCAGTTGATGAGTTGGCGACATCGACGTAGCTCTGCACACCCGCGTCGAACCCTCGCCCGGTGGCGAGATCGACCCACGTGTTGACATGGCCGCCCTTGTGATATTAGAATTGAGGACGGGGGTTTTCAGACGGGTAAGATGGTACCAATTGTGCCTCCTTTTCAACAAGTGCAACACTCAAGCCATAGTCTTCTCGAAGTCTCACAGCTGAATATGCCCCGGAAGCCCCTCCGCCAATGACAACAACATCTCTGCGGATGGTTTTGGGGTTGGCCGCGGAAGAAAGCTTGTCTGGACAACCTGCCCAGGCCAAGTCGACATAGAGAAGCCCTATCAGAACTGTGTTCTTCGCTTCGGATAACATTGGAAACCAAGACACGAACTTCGTCGACGACGTGCTGCTCTCAAAGCACCGCCTAGGTAGTCAGTAGGGGCTCGTGGTACGACTTCTGCGGGGCCACAAGGCTTTTGAGAAGCTCATTTGTATTCGGGGACGCCCAAAGACCCGGATGATTCTACCGAAGTCCGACCGCATTTACTTCGTCTCGAGGTTGCATGCCAAGATGGTTCTGTGCCTCAATACCAAAGATTGAACCGCCTCTCGGACTCGCGAAGACCCTCGCATGTGGCACGGCTACTTCTTCTGGAAATGTAACCCGGGATGTCCTTAGCTCACTGCAACACAGCCCACTGTCCACCACTGCTGCCTGAACAATATTGCGACTTGGGAGCTGAAAGGAGAAATTGATCAGCAATTTGCGAACCCTACGACTCAACAACATTCCCAGGGATTGCTCTCAGCCCTGCATCAAAGCGTCAGCACACTAAGGTAACGTCGATAGTTGCGATTGGGAAAATACTAACAGTTTCCCTTGGCCCCAACGTCCTCGTCGACGCGCGATGGGATGGTGCACGCGATGGCGTCGTCCCCAGGTTGGATCTTGAGAGCGCTGCAGACATCATTCGTGCACCCGTTCTTGCCAAGAGCGTCCATGCCCCTTTGAAGTGCGTCTCCTTGCCCTACAAGGCAGAGCTTATTAGTGTCTTGTGCTACGTTAAAGATGACTCGGCTGGGTAATGCCTACATCCAAAAAGATAGTCGCCGTGCTGGCCGTGGCCAGATCTGTGTGAGTTGAGTTAGCTGTCGAATCCCTTGAAATCATTAGGTGTCAATAACCTACCGGTCGCCAAAACTGTACACAAACGGCTGTTTTCCTCCTTCGAAATACTCAGGTTTGTTGAATGGTTTCGTATCAAGCATAATCTCATACATGACCTGGGGGACACGAATCGGATGGGTAGCCGGGCAACCGGCCCCGGCCAAGGCTCCAAATCCGCCAGTTGAGTACGCCATGTGGCTGCTGTGGTCAGGGCTGTCAAGATTCTTACCGTCCCAGCAGCTGGGGAAGGTGACGGTCGCGCGGATTCCGCCCGGACACATCTTAAGTGGGAACTCGGATGTGTCGCGCGCGTCGCAAGGGGCAAACCCAGCACCGTTGCCCTCGCAACGGTGGCAGATGCCTGGGAAGGTGCCCGCCTTGGTGCGCAAGGCGGGATTGCCTGCAAGCATTCGGAAGCCCTAGAGGAGTTACCAAGCATGCAAGACATGACTGATCAGGGGCACACGAACTGGCTTGAACGAGGTCGTCTTTGGATTTCCGCTGAAGGGCTGCATGTAGTACACGGTCAAACCTCCCTCTTGTGGAAGGAACTCACGGCCATCAAAGGTGCGGAAGTTGGCCTTCTGCGGGACAAGCCGGTAGGTACCGTTCTCGGGAGACTTGAAGTACACGGTGGCGGTCCAGTAGTTGCTAAAATCCTCTGAGTAGGTACAAGATGTGCAGGTCGACACCGTTGGTGGATCAATATCGGCCGGGTGCATGGTGAAGTTGAACGAGTTGCCGCCGACAATTTGATGGGTGTGGGGAGAAGGCACCATGCCGGGACTGACAATAGGGTCAGACCGCTCAATCACGAGCTGAGAGCAGCCGAAGCGTAGACTCTCTCCCTGAGCCCAAACATGGTGAGCTGCCAGAAAGGCGATGCCGAGAACCTTTCGGGACATTGTTTTGGGTGATCCAGGGGGCTATCAGTTGAAGGGACTTGACGCGATTGGGTGTTTGGGGAGGACAAAGCCAAGCATCTGTCCTTTGTCTAAGATAGGCCGCAGAGGTCTTTAAGGAAGACAATCACATTGATGTACGCCGTTGATTGCGTCGATAGTTATCGCCCACTGAGATTCAGACCGGTATGTGGACAATCCCATAGTATCGGATAAGTGGGGGTCGGGGAGTAGCGAACCGCGGCTGCTGAATGATTATCCGCCGCTTGAACCTTTGTCGATAGAAGCCAGATGGCCATGAAGCGGAAGACGTAACATGTCGTCAGTGTTGTATCCGGATTCCAGTCAGACCCAGTCGTTTTCTTCTTTTCGTCAGCCCACTGTTTCATAAGATTGGTCTGAAAGCTTGACATTCGTGTTGCGCAAGGCGT